GGCAGCGGTGGATGTGGATATGCCCCCGGGCCCCCTGGGGGCCCAGATAGATCGTTACCCACCACTTCCCGAGGTCCTGCGAGGTCGGCTCCCCGGGCGGCAGGTGTGTAGAACCCCCCCGCCTCGGACCAGAGTTAAGTCGGGCACGTCCCTCTACAGGAGGAATGCTCAAAAATAGTGAACAAAATAGTCTGGGGACGATTTTTCGCTTACTCTCGGCCCTTTGTGGCTATTTTTTTGACCGTTTCTGATTTTTCGTCGAACATCCTCCTGCAGGAGGACGTGCCCGACTTAAGACCAGAGTTGTGACCAACAAGGCCCCCCACACCTGGCGGCTCCCCCGCGTGCACGCGACAGCGTGGGTGCCTGCACTCTTCTGGTCGGGCCTCCCTCGCGGGCCGTGCGGCAGCTCTGCGTGCGAGGCCGAAGTCGGGCGTGCAGGGGGAGTATTCCCAGATAGTCAAATAATAGTCTATTTGATTTCTTTGTAATGATATTTTTGGGATATTTTTGGATGATTTGATTGATTGGTTTGATGATTCTTCAGGCTTACGCCACATCCGCCGACCCCTTATGAAGAATCGCGCAGTGGTCTGGTCGCCTCTTTGGGTGGTCTGAGGCCCCTGGGCCATTCTTGGGGCATTCTTGGGTTGTCTTGGGGCCCCTTAGGCCGTCCTGTGGCAGTATTGGGCTGTCTTGGGGCTCTCTTGGGCTGTCATCGGCCTCTCTTGGGCTGTCATGGGGCGCTCTGGGCGTTCTTTTCGGCCGTCTTGGCCGTCGCCATCTGTTGCCGAGGACTGTGGTATGCCCTTGGTGACCTCAGAACTGCTTTGCGGTGTCTTTTGGAACCGTCAGGGGCGGCCGTGGGGTGACCTTCGATCGTTTCAGGCCATGGTCAGAGACCCGCCGAAACGCCCTGCGGAAGCAAGTGACGAGCACGGCGGGAAGCGACGCAAGTTGCGAGGAATCTGACCGCGAGTCGCGCGCGTTGTCTTCGGGGCTCTCTTGGGCCGTCCTCTGCCCCTCTTGAGATTGTCTTGGCGCCCTCTTGGGCTGTCGCGGGGCCCTCGTGGAGGCTTCTTGGACCGTCTTGGTGCGGTCTTGGGGGGCTCTGGGGCCGCCCAGGAGCGGGGAACACCCCAAAAGGCGCATGTGCGAGAAATATATACGTTTTACGAAGGGAACGGGCGTTTTTGTGCGTCTAGAGGCCCTCTTGTGGCGCATCGTGGATGCCTCTTGGGGCGTCTTGAGGGCCTCTGTAGCCGGCTGGAGGTCGTCGTCAGTGTTGTTGATCGCTCTTGGACCGTCGGGGGCCATGTGGAGCTCTCTTCGAGGCCACTCGGGGCGCTCCTGGAGCGCTGTCGGGGCCGTTTTCGGAGCCCCTTTGGGCCGTCTTGGACGTCTGTTGGCCCGTCTTGGGGCCCTCTAGGGCTATATGGGGAACCCTCTTGGAGGCGTCTTGGGCCGTCTGGGAGCGGGTTTGGGGGGCTCTGGGACCGTCCAGGAGCGGGGGGCACCCCGAAAGGCGCACGTGTGAGAAAACATACACGTTTTACAAAGGGAACGGGGTTTTTTTTGCGTCTAGAGGCCCTCTGTGGGCGCATTGTGGATGCCTCTTGGGCCGTCTTGGGGGCCTCTTCAGCCGTTTGGAGGCCGTCGTCGATGTTTGTGATAGCGCTTGGACGGTCGAGGACCATGTGGAGCTCTCTTCGAGGCCACTCGGACCGCTCCTGGAGCGCTCTCGGAGCCGTTTTCGGAGCCCTTCTGGGCCGTCTTGGACGTGTGTTTGCGCGTCTTGGGGCCCTCGAGGGCTATGTACGGACCCTCTTGGAGGCGTCTTGGACCGTCTGGGAGCGGGTTTGGGGGGCTCTGGGGCCGTGCAGGAGCGGGGGTCATCCTCAAAGGCGCACGTGTGAAACAATATACGTTTTACGAAGGAAACAAACGATTTTTTGCGTCTAGAGGGCCTCTTGGGGGGAATCTTGGATGCCTGTGGGGGCGTCTGGGGAGGCCTCGTGAGCCGTCGGGAGGTCGTCGTCGATGTTTCTGATCGCTCTTGGACCGTCTGGGACCATGTGGAGCTTCGGGGAGGCAGCTCGGAGCGTTCCTGGAACGCTCTTGGGGCCGTTTTCGGTGCCCTTTTGGGCCGTCTTGGGCGCCTGTTGGCCCATCTTGGACCCTCTAGGGGTCTGTGGGGGACCCTCTGCGAGGCTTCTGGGGCCGTCTGGGAGCGGGTTTGGGAGCCTCTTGGGCCGTCGGGGAGCATCGGAAAGATCCAAAGCTGAATTTTTTAAGATGTACATTTCACAATGGGAATGGCCCAATTTTGGCGTCTAGGGACCCTAGCTCGTGGGGACCTCTTCTGCCGTCGAGGACGCCTCGTGGCCCGTCTTCGGGCAACTTGGACGTCTTGGAGCGCTCGTGGGGCGTCCCAAATCCATGTCAAAGCCACCAGACGCGTCCCTACACGAATTTCACATGTTTTTCCACGCTTTTCGTCACCCCCAAAATTGCGCACGTGTGAAAAAATATACGTTTTACGAAGGAAACAAACGGTTTTTTGCGTCTAGAGGGCCTCTTGGGGGGAATCTTGGATGCCTGTGGGGGCGTCTGGGGAGGCCTCGTGAGCCGTCGGGAGGTCGTCGTCGATGTTTCTGATCGCTCTTGGACCGTCTGGGACCATGTGGAGCTTCGGGGAAGCAACTCGGAACGCTCCTGGAACGCTCTTGGGGCCGTTTTCGGAGCCCTCTTGGGCCGTCTTGGACGCCTGTTGGCCCATCTTGGGCCCTCTAGGGGTCTGTGGGGGACCCTCTGCGAGGCTTCTGGGGCCGTCTGGGAGCGGGTTTGGGAGCCTCTTGGGCCGTCGGGGAGCATCGGAAAGATCCAAAGCTGAATTTTTTAAATGTGCATTTCACAATGGGAATGGCCCAATTTTGGCGTCTAGGGACCCTTGTGGAACGCATCTCGGAGGCCCTCGGGGGAGCTCGTGGGGACCTCTTCTGCCGTCGAGGACGCCTCGTGGCCCGTCTTCGGGCAAACTTGGACGTCTTGGAGCGCCCGTGGGGCGTCCCAAACCCATTTCGAGGCCACCAGACGCGTCCCTACACGAATTTCACGTGTTTTTCCACGTTTTTCGGGAGCGGATGAGACCTCCGGGGGGTCCGGCCCGTCCGGCCGTTGATTGATTGGTTTGATGATTCTTGGGTGATATTTAGAGGGGACCATTTTTTGAGCATTTTATTTTTTGGGAGATATTTGGATATTTTTGGGGTACGTTTCGTTTTTCGCTTAACATTCCTCCTGTAGGGGGACCTGCCCGACCCAAGCCGAGGCCCACGCGGAGATCTTGGCGCCGCCATTTTTTCACAGCGGGCGGCTCTGACTCCAGGCCCTTTTCGTCGATTTCGGCTTCTGGGGCCCGTTGTCGGCTCCCAGGACGATCAAAAACGGATCTGGGACGACAAACTACAGTGGGGACCCATGCCAAGAAGCACCCTGCTTGCCTCCTGGGTGCTCTGTTTTTTTTGTGTTTCGATGGCCTGGCTGTGGAAAGCGTGACATTCCCACACAACAATCCATGGACGTCCTTCCCTGTCTCAGGGTTGGGTTTCTTGTGGAAGGTTTCTTGTGCACTGGCCTCCACTGTACCTCTGGGGAAGGGCTCCTTCACAACAGGCGTTTTCGCCCGGCTTCGGGCCACGGGAGCATCACAGATCGACTGGGCTCGAAAAATGCAGCCAGCAAGATGGGGTTTAGGGCTCCAGTCGTGGTTTTTCGCGGTGTTCGGCACCGTCGGACGTCAAGGAATGACGTGGCGATACAGGAACGCGCCGAGCTGCCTCTGGAGGTGTGTCGGCGGCGCCTCTAGAGAGGGGGGCTGGGTGCCAGGGGAGCGTGGATGCCATGGGCCAGGCCTCGATCTCCCAGGTGTCGTGGTCCCCCTCTGCTTGCAACGCATCCACTGGCCTCCCCCCCTCGTCCGCTCACGTGCCTTGGGCCATGATAGGGGGCCACATGCGAACCCTACCCCTACCCCCCACGATTTCTGAGGGGGAGGGTGTGGTTCACTTCGCTCGGGAGCTCCCGAACGAAGTGAACCCCACCCTCCCCCTCAGAAATCGTGGGGGGTAGGGGTAGGGTTCGCATGTGGCCCCCTGTCAGGAGGCGCACCCCGCTCCGTCCTGCCCCCCATCTTCGGTGCATCGGGTTGCAGGTCCCAGGAGGCTTCTGGAGGCCCCATGGGAGCCTCCACGGGCCTTCGGAGGTGCAGAACGAGGCCAGAGAACCCGCACGTCGAGCGGCTGGTTTGCTCGATTTCAGGCTTCTGGGGGGCCTTACCAGGCCCCTGGACCGTGGGCTGCAAATTTCAGGAGGGACAGAAACACACAGACACAATTACTCGTCGATCCCCAGGAAAATATTGGAAAATATGGGAAGTGGGGGGGAAGACAAAAACCCAGAAAATACATGAAAATATAGGGAATCCTATGATTTGTGTGTGTATTTATTTGTGTGTGTCCCAGGGCCCCTTCAAAATCAGCTTTGGGGAAAGGGCCAGGATTTCTGGGGATCCCGTGCCGAAAAAATCAAGATATCGGATGCGCCTTCTTCCTTCTCCTCCGACAGGCAACTTGCCAGTGACGTCGCCCCTCAGGGCTTCGACCAGTTCTCTGGGATCAGCTTTCCATCCAGCTTCGTTTTTTTCAGGGTCCCGTGGCCAAGGAACGAGAAAAAATGACGTGAAACCGGCCGCCACGATTTTTCTGCGACGCGCGGATTTGGGGGTATATGGGAACGCAGGGCGCGAGCTAAACGGTGTTTTGGACATTTCGTGGACAATTATCGTGTTGATTTCGTTTTGTGGCAAATGCGGAACGAAGGCAGAACGAGGGACAACGAATATGGAACGAAACCAGGACATACTGTTTCGCTCGCGCCCTATGGGAACGTATCGGAGAGCAGACCGTGGCGATATTTTTGCTGTGGCGCCCAGATCCGGG